CCCAAACAGTTTACTGTTAGGGGTTCTCAATGCTTTAAAGAATGGTCCCCTTGGTGCTGGATGGTCTGGTCGGGTTCCCGGCCGGCTTGTCTCCCACTTTCATTTGTCTCCCAGTTCTTTTCATTTGTCTCCCAGGCTGGGTGCTTGTGGTCGGGTTCTCGGCTGGCTTGTCTCCCGCTTCCTTTCATGTGTTTCCCACTTCTTTTCATTTGTCTCCCACGTCCTTTCATTTGTCTCCCACTTCTTTTCATTTGTCTCGCAGTTCTTTTTATTTGTCTCCCAGGCTGGGTGCTCGTGGATTTGTCTTCCACTTCTTTTCATTTGTCTCCCAAGCCGGGTGCTTGTGGTCGGGTTCCCGGCTGGCTTGTCTCCCACTTCCTGTCATTTGTTTCCCACTTCTTTTCATTTGTCTCCCACGCCCTTTCATTTGTCTCCCAGTTCTTTTCATTTGTCTCCCAGGCTGGGTGCTTGTGGTCGGGTTCCCGGCTGGCTTGTCTCCCACTTCCTTTCATGTGTTTCCCATTTCTTTTCATTTGTCTCCCACGTCCTTTCATTTGTCTCCCACTTCTTTTCATTTGTCTCCCAGTTCTTTTCACTTGTCTCCCAGGCTGGGTGGTTGTGGTCGGGTTCCCAGCTGGCTTGTCTCCCACTTCCTTTCATTTGCCTCCCACTTCTTTTCATTTGTCTCCCAGTTTTTTCAATTGTCTCCCAGGCTGGGTGCTTGTAGTCGGGTTCCCGGCCGGTCTCCCACTTCCTTTAGGCTGGGTGCTTGTGGTCGGGTTCCCGGCTGGCTTGTCTCCCACTTCCTTTTATTTGTTTCCCACTTCTTTTCATTTGTCTCCCAGGCTGGGTGCTTGTTTCCGGCCGGCTTGTCTCCCACTTTCTTGCATTTGTCTCCAACTTTTGCCCCAAACAGTTTACTGTTAGGGGTTCTCAATTCTTTCTTAAGATGTGTCACTGCTGGTGTCCGCCCATTTCCACTGGCCATGTAGCATTTCAAATTAATCATTTTTCTCCCAGGTCTACTGCTGGTGTCCGCCCTTTTCCGCTGACCATGCAGCATGTCTATTCATTTGTTTCCCGGGTCTGTCACTGGTGCTGCCGCCCTTTTCCGCTGGCCATGTAGCATTTCGATTCATTTGTCTCCCATGTGATTTCTTTCTTTTTGTCTTTCAGGTTTGGTCCATGCACTGCTGTTTTCTGCCCTGTCGGCTGGAACAGGTTCACCTGTTGCGTGACTGTCTCCGGGATTGCATTCCTGCCACACTGTGTAACACTCAGCTTTGTTTTCCTTTTCGGGCAAGCGTTGGATGAATGACCGGATTGGATTTCGGCGGCGTGGCAGCCATCTCTCTGTTCAGTTGGGACGGGGGGCATATGTCAGGCACCAAAAATCAATTTCATGTCACATCCTTCGCTCCTCATGCTTTTATTTCTTTTCCTCACGTGGTCAACTCCCCGCTGATTGAGCAGCATGACTAGCATCATGTTCGCACTTGAAGAATAATTCCCCAAAAGGTTTACTGTTAGGGCTTCTCAATTCTTTTTTAAGATGTGTCCGCCCGCTCTGTACTGCTGTGTCCGTCTCTGCCTTGCAATCCTTTACATTTGTTTTCCAGCTCTGGGCTGCTGCGGCCGCCTCTGCCTTGCAATCCTTTGTCTCCCACCTCTGGACGTCGCAAGCTCTAGTTTCGATTTTGAAAAAACACAAACTGTTTGGGGTCTACGGTGGTGTAATTTGTGGGTTTCTAGCCTTCTCACGCTAGTCTACTAGTTAACAAGTTGCCAAGGAAGATCGAGGCAAAGAATGGCTTGGAGAACTACTGCTTCAGCATGCGCAATACACTCAATGAGGAGAAACTCAAGGAAAAGTTTGAGACTGTTGACAAGGGGAGGATTGAATCGGCCGTGCAAGAGACCTTGGACTGGCTGGACAAGAATCAGCTTGCCGAGAAGGATGAGTTTGAGGCAGGTGGTTTTTCATTTTTGGCCTCCCCATCCGAATGCCAAACCAGACTGGGAGGGAGTTTAAGGGTCCTCTTCGGTCCTTTCAGAAACCGTGAAGCCGTTTTGAGGCCAAGCAGAAGGAACTTGAGGCCATCGTGAATCCGATCATGATGAAGGTTTACCAAGCTGCCGGCGGCGACGGTGGAATGCCAGGCGGCATGGGCACACCTGGCGCGCCTAGCGCTCCCGGCAATGGCCCCACGGTTGAGGAGGTAGACTGAGACCAGCGACTGTAGCGACCACTTTTGGCCGACGTGGAGTCCTGAATTCGATTTACTGTATACTTGATAGTACTTGATAGTACTTGAGCGGCTTTGCCCACAGACCAGTTGTACAGGGAACAGGTGAAAAAGATGAAGAGAGGCTCAGAGATTCAAAGCAGGGCTTTCAGATAATGTGAGAGTTGGAGTCTCGAGATACTTTGGTTTGAGTGTTTTGTTTTTTCCAGCAAAGCAATGTTGTTTGCTTTGCGGGATCAAAGCAAGCCAGTATGCAACTGATTTGAGGTAAGAAATGGAAAGAAGAACTCACTTCTTGAGTCAATTCTTGTCACCATGCCTTCCAGTTCTTTGAGCCGTCAGGTGTTGAGTGATTCTGAAAAGAGAGCCAAGTACGACAAATTCGGCCGGGCTGCCTGCAACACCAGTCTTGTGTGGCGGGATGACAGGGTTCTTCATCATGGGGTTTCGATGAGGGCGGGGTTGATCTCTTTGCGGTTTTAAGTTTATGAGTACCGCTGAAATGTCTTCGAACTTCATGGATCAACAGACTAAATGACCAAATATATATATATATACGTATATATATATATATATGCAACATTATGCAATTATTAAGCTACTTACGTGATTTGACATAATTAGATGATGTCTTATTATTTCAATATGTTATCTTGGATTTGGGACTGCAGCCTATTCAATACGTTGTACTGGTATTTACAATATCCATGTTGAGGATGTTTCGGCCACACGCAGCATCGAGGTGAGGAGGGCTTGGACAGCGATGGTCCTGGCGATGCATCCGACATCTTTGAAGCCTTCTTTGGAGGCCAAGCAGCAGACCGAGGATGTCGTATGTGTCTCACCACGGGTCCATTGCAGCTGCAGTCGTGAGAGCTTCATTTGTGGCGAAAGCTGCAACTGGGATGCAGTTGGAACGTATCTGAAGCATATCACAAATTCTCCAGATACAGTAGCAGTTCTCCAAATCGTGCAAGATGCTTCACCTGAGAACTTCACCTGAGTGACCCAAGATGCTTGCCTGACACCATCAGGTTGAACATGTTGAACCTAAGAAGTAAATCATTCATTAACAAGGTTCGCTACTAGGGGCTCCTGGCCATACTACTAGGAGCAAGGACGCTACTGGGGGCTCCTGGCATCGCTACCAACGGAGCATTCTTCAGGCCGTTCAGGTCAACTGAATCGCAAGCGACCCCTTGCGACGAAGACGCCAGGGGGCGGTGGACGTCGTGGCGGCGCCTCCCGGAGACGACAGAAGACCAAGGACTGCCGTGACGGAGCGTGGCGAAGGAGTTGACGAAAAGAGTGATGGACATCCTTTGCATTTTTCATTACAATACAGTACAGTTGAAGCAATATTAGATTGTGATTGTGCCATTGTGTGTATTGTATTTGCGCACCGGGAATTTCATAGAACACTATAATCACTTTTCAGTCGAATTGTTTTGAGACATGTTAGTCCACATTTCCAAGCTGCAGGACGTAGTTCAGAACCTGAAGGTGACATTGGAACAGATGCTTTGCCGCATTTCCCGTGATCCACACAGTCACGACAGATGAACTAGTCAAACCTATGTCAAGCCTTTGGCATGATGGGGCATGTTTGAAATCCCAGCTCAGCTCCCTATTTTGGAACAGTTTGGTGCTGACAACAAGTTTGGTGCTGTGAATGCCGGAATGGCCGAGTGCATGGCCGGAATGGCATCCCCACACATTTCCGCAGAATTCGGAGTTGCATCCTGTCTCAGGATGTATTCCGGCTTCACCAAGAAGATGGCCATCACTCGACAGGTGTGGGGTATGGACAGAATGAAAAAGACCTGATGGATGAAGTCAGCAACAAGCTGAAGGAAGAAGAGAGCTTGCTTACGAACATGGCATGTGGATGCCCCGTGCCGCAAGCGCGGCACTCTTTCACCGTACAAAGCGAATCACCGTAGGACATGACGCCCCTTTCCTCTCCACACCACGACCGCACAGAAAGCGAAACAGGACATGGGGTTCGGCCTCATGAGATCTCATTAGGAGGTTCGGCCTCTTAAGACGCCCGCAAAAGGTCATCGACAAGAAGAAGGGCGTCCAGGAGTGCAGAGAATGCGATGGCCGCGGCGTGAAAGTGGAGGTGGTCCGAATGGGGTTCCGAGCTGAGAGGATGCACGAACGACCGGAGCGTGTTCCGAAGAACTGAAACCTCGTGCCGCTTTCTCCCAGGCCAATGATTCAGCAGATGCTCCTCGGTTGAGCTTATGACATTTTCTCTTTCGCGGTTCTCTGGGGCAAGCCAAAAAGGAGTTCATGTTCATGTTTCTGGGAACTTCTAGAACGCAGTATGCTGGCCAGGCCATCCGAACCTTTCACTATTGCTCACTCAGTTTTTGTCCTTATCAACCTCGTATCATTACATAGTTCCACAATTTGTCAGACTGACTCACTCATGGCTCTGAAATGAAGTGGAAGGCAAATTGCCGACACCCAGTGGCTGTACTACTAGTAGGGCCATACCTATGGGCCAACTGAGGCAGTCCCAGTGCCACAGCTGTGGTGGACAAGGGAAGAGCTTCCAGACGAAGCAGGAGAGAGAGGCCCTGCAGCTGTTTGCCTTCAGTTGTTTGGATTGGTTTTGTCCAGCACGAGAGGACGGAGGTAAAAAGTTAATAGATGAAACATCTCCTTTCCCTTCTAATGGAGGGACTAGAAACCAGTAAAACTACAGAAGTTGTGATTGACCACCTTGTCAGCACTTGCATGTTGGAACCGATGGAAGACCTTAGAAGTTCAAGAAACTCAATACTCGTAGCATTCAGTTTTCGAGCTTGGGAATCTTGGGACAGGATTTTAAGGTACACTCCTTTCAATAACGTTATTTGGAATTTGAGAAACTGCCATTTTGAGGTTCTGGAGGTGCACATCCAGAAGGGATCGCCAGATGGACACAAGGTGCAAGCGCAAGCGCACGCGATTGCGGGACTGTCGACAGTTTTGCGGGAAGCCTTCACTGTGGGTGGACAACGAACGATTGCTCTTTACTTCAAGTACGACGTTTTGAACTGCACAGAACTAGCCTGTGAAAGGCAATGCAAAGATGCAAGGATTGGACCTAAATTGATCGAACTTGAATGGTCCAGGTTGGGAATCCTGGTAGACTGCAAAGGGGTTTTGGTCCAGAACTCTGGTGAGAATGAAGAGCTAGGAGAGCACTGGAGAGGACCGGTGTCAGGCTGTTTTTCTCTTTCAAGCTATTCCTTTGGCCATACCCCATGCACAATAATATAGGTGCAGCTGCTTGTGTACTCAGACTGCAGCTGGCAGAAGATTGGCAGGTGATTTTCGTCGATCCTGTGTAAGCACATCTATAGCAGCTATATATATATATATTATATGCAGCACACACACACATACAGATACACATGTGGGCGCTCCTGCCCAGAAGTTATGAGTGGCGAGCTCTTGCCCTCTTTCTGCGTCTCTCCAGTAACTAGCGCTTCATAGGTCTGGATCTTGTTTGCTTCCATAGCTCGTGTTCCTTTGCAGGTTGTCTTTCGAGAGATGGCTGACGAGCATCCGGATGCCGATGCTGGTGACGTGGTTTTTGTGCTGAAGCAGCAGGAGATACGGCGGGGACCCTGATGATGCGAAGGTGACCTGGCGCATGCGATGTGATGAAGGCGTTACGGATGGTCACGATGGTGGTGAACGACCTGGATTTCTCCGGACCTCGAGTGATCACACTCTTCCCTTGGCTGAAAGACCCTGTGTCAGGAGCATGCTGACTTCAAGCGTAAGGGGGCCGACCTCTTCATCGAGCGCAAAATCTCTTTGGTAGAGGCGGAGCTGCACCAAACAGCCGAATCGGGCGTAGTCCTCAAAGTGCGTGCTGGACACATTGGCTCAAGAGATGGTCGTTTTGAAAGAGTTGCTCCAAAGTCACCTTGTAGTCTTGCTTCAAGTAGTATGGTGAAGTTCTGCTTGCGCCAGGCTCTGTGCGGCTTCACTATGGAGCTCACGCACTTGGATGGGCGGAAACTCCAGATCAAGACACAGCCAGGCTGGGGTAAAGAAGGGCTGGGCTGAGATCATTTGGTGCTGATGTCAGCTTTGAACTTGTTGCACGCCCTGTTGTTTGAAGAGCATCTTCTGTCGTCCCAAATGCCCTGGCCGACGGTCCTGGTGCGTGACAGGCGAGATCGTGAAGCCCATGAGCCAGGGCTTTGACCCCTTGGCCAAGGAGGAGAGATCGGCCAATCACCCAAGCCATCTCCTCTATGTGGCGGACTTAACGACGAAGGGCTTTTTCCTAAGGCTGAACCCAATCATTTTGGTCGATTGTCTTTGATGATCACAAACACTTCCTTTATCTTCCCTTCTTTGTCTTGCTGCTGATATCGCACCATATCTCAACATTCACTTATTGAGTGCCGTCTCATCATGGCTTTTGTTTGAAAAGGAAACTGATCTGATGCCTCGGACACTGATTCGTTTCGCAAACAGCTTGGCCAAACGTTTAACGGAGTCTAACGCCCAAGAAACCCACCTGTATCTTAGCAAGTTAGTTGTGAATTTGAGTTTGGTTTTCTATCTTGCTTGAGACTTTCACATTTTTATTTTGGATTCATTGATAATTGATAATTGTAATGCTTCATTGCCAGAGCCCGACCGGAAAGCTGAGCTGCTCCAAGAAGTCACTTGCCAGGGGACACTGGTCCTACACTCCTACACGGAACGAACGGGTCACCGTGTTTTGGGGTCCACTGATTCAAGACCCTACAGAAGTTCTGCCACGGAAAAGTGCATTTTTCGGCACGGAAGATACGGAAGACTACTAATGCCTCACAGTATATTATGATGTAACAGCACAATAAGTGCTCGCGCCAGGAAGCGAAGACGGAGTGGGAGGTGATCGAAGATGCAGACTGTCCCAGCGTTGAGAATGTAGCGCAGGCTGTCGCAGCGGGACATGTGAGTCGCTAGTAGGTGTGGTGAGTAACTGCTTTTCAAGGCTATATACATGTTGAGCATGGCCTTGGTGTAGTGCAATTCCGAAGGATTTTGTGAACCTTTCCGCCAGAGAATATCGCATTGCTAGGCAGACACCACAGACATCGACACGCTGAAGAAGGCTTGTGAGACCCAGCTGAAGCGCGACTCAGCTGAGACCAGAGGAGGACCTGCGAAGACGGAGCGTCCAGGACGACAGAGTCGAGCGGGCTCTGGGAGAGAGTGATTTGACGGCCTTAACATCTTAACCGGATTCAAGGAATATTTAAACATATATATATATATATATTCATGATATTTATAATATTTATATAATTGATGGCCGAAACCCTTCCCCTTGTCCAGCTTCAATGGCAGTATTGAACTTGTGCCGGGCCAAGAGATTATCACATCATGACCACGAAGAACTGCCGAGGTAAGGGCATCGACGTGGGCTGCTTTGTGGTGGATGGCCAACGTGCCTTGAACTTCAATGCAGTGTTGGCTTGATGCTTTGGCCCAAAGCCAGGATGACAAGATTCCCAACAAATGCGAAACTGCTCCACGTCATGTGCGTATTGGCACCTGGAACGAGCAGAAGCACTGGCAGCTCTGCAGCTTGTTCCCGGGCAGTGATGCTGAGGTGCCTACTTCAAGCAGTGCACCCGTGAGGAAGCACTGGCAGCAACTTGGAGCATTCAGTCACCAATTTTGCTCCCGAACAGCTGTCCCTATCAGGGAGCAGGGACATGACATGACATGACACAAACCTACAGGGGGGGTCGACGTGGTATTTTAGAAGTTATCCACATTGAATCCCGGTTGGGTATTGTATGGTATTATTGCAAGGCAACACTGTATTCTCCATGTTTGAGTGATGCTGACTGGCCCTTTGCTTTGCCATCTCTGAGGCAAAGAAGACGCGACGAGGAAGCAGCATGCCGGGCGCTCAAAAGCATTGCATATTCGTCCAACCTTGTGAGTTATCCACTCGACAGCTGTACCAAGTCTTCTTTTTTTTAAATATAGTTTTTTGCACCGTCACACTGTTGACGTGGCGCTTTTGCTATGAATGCAGACCCATGTTCAGAACTGTTCAAACGTGTACCAAGGTACATCGTGACTGATCCCGATGTATCTTGGCTTTGACACTTGTTTTGGGGTTACTGGTGGTGAGTGAGCTGATTGGCTACCTTGCTCCTTTCTCTTCCTTTTCTCGTCGGGTTTCTCGAAACTTCTTTACACACTTTGCAGCAGAAAGTAGTCAAGCTTGGAAGGTGCAATATGCAGCACATGGCTAAAGCAATGCCCTGCGCACCAGGCTTCCCATGTTTGTTGGCCCAAACAATCGTAACAATAATACCAAGCAAGTGAAGAATGATGAAGTTGAGGGGACCACTGAGGCAAAGAAGGGATTCCGCATGATGAAGGCGCTGGGCAGAAGATCAATCGAATGGAGTCTTTCTGCTTCAGACCATCAGAGATCACAGGAGGCATGCGAAAAACCTTGAGACGTTTCACACCCAATGGCAGCAGGCGGTCAAAGACGAAGGCATGCCTACTTTCAAGAATCCGCAGCTTAGCTGTGATTGGGGAAGTCTTTGCGAGTTCTTGGCGAAGTCTTTGCATGTTGGAAGCAAGAAATGCTGCGAGAGATTGAGGTTTGTGCATGGCAACTTGTTTTTGGTCCTTACCATTGAGTCTGGACCTGAGGATTGTGAAGGATGTTGTATGATTTTGTTGAGCGTAACTTAAATGAACTCAATTGAACTTAGACGTCTAGAATCTACAATTGAAGGTTTGGTAGAGAGAGAGAGAGAAAGAGTATGTGGCCAACCTCAAGGTCCATACTGCAGGAACGCCAAAACGAGGAACGGGATGCACCGTGCTTCACTAGTCGACATGGCAAGCGACTTTGCTGAGGTTCCCTGATTCTCTCTCACCAGAGAATCAAGTTGTCAAGCTTGGCCTGTTTAGACGGTTGTCTACTTGTCTCAATGGTGGTGCTCTGGAGCCGAATTGATTGTGACGTGGTTTCTTCGGTCGAAGTAGCCATTGACTGGCTCACGGCATGACAGGCAATGGCGAAGCTGCTGCCACCACCTTTGCATGTTCCCAAGTGGACCGAGGAACCCAGCTCAAGAAAACAATCAATCAGAGAGGGGCAGCCAGACTCACGGGCCCCAGGATAGGATCAGGTGGATTCAATAGATACTGTATATATTTAATGTTAATATATTCATTCTTAATCATTCACTAAAATTTATGTAAGCATACATAAACCCTTTGAAATTGCTGTACTAACTATGAGGGTCCACTAGAGTTTCCTAGAGAGCCACATTGGCCCGCGATTCCCGACTTCACTCTGCTTTGCGTCGAGTGACCATGTGCCACGGCAGAGTGAAGCCGTGGACCTGTCCGCTTCCGACGAGCGGATCGCATGCGTCCCGTGACAGGATCAGCAGGATGTGGAGATCCACACTGTGACTGACATTGATCCCGTGCATTCCTACAATTCGAACAAGGCGCTCCCAGCACACACAGGGACGGGTGTGGCAGGAATCATCTCCCTCACTGTCCAAAGTTATTTGTCCCAGACATAAGTTCACTCTACCATGAGTGCAAAAAGAGAGCATCTGGGCATTGGCCTTTTTTCCCATGATCATCATTTCAGATATTTTCAGATCGTGCCTACTTACTGTTTGCCTCCAGCTGAGCCAGGTGAACATGTCCGCCGGGGGCGAGGCCTACGATGATGACGAGGAGGATGGCCCTCGTGGTCCTGGGGGTCCAGGAGGAGTGCAATGCCATCAGCAGTAAGGCAGGATGGGTGGGCGGTGACTGCGGGGTGGGTGGGATCCTAATTTGGATCACCGCGAAAAGATTGAAGGCTTTAAACGAACTTTAAAGCCTACAGCAATATCAAGGTCACCGGTCCCAATAATGCGGGACCCGTAACCCGGAGATTCCCAAGACCAGCCGACCTTAAATGCAGACATTTGATGACATTTGTAGCTTTTAAAGACTGGATGTGTCAAGATGTTTCACAGCTTTTTGGAGTTAAAGAGAGTGCATCCAGTGATTCCCATTATTCAATCCGATTAGCTTTTGCTTTCTTGCTACGCAGGCACTCAGCGCACGTCCCAGTAAGAAATGGGGTCGGATTTTCTCGGTCGACAGAACATGCAACGGTTGCAGCGCCTCTATCCCTTTGAGCATTGTTGAGCCTTGTTTTGTGACAGTTGAAGCGAGAAAATCTGAAAGCAATACTGACAATATTCTTTTCCATTCGCTTGCTTTGAAAGCAAGTGACCAAACTCATTGAGTTTGGGCCGTGGCAGTGCACCTGTGCGTAAGACTGCCACGGTGGGCAGAAAAACAGGTGGCGCCACTGCATTGCCGGACAGGGCTGCTTGAGGGGTGCTTCTGAAGTTTAGTTTAGTCTTTCTAGTTTAACTAGATTGAGTTTGCGGTTTTCAAATTATTGCAATAATGGTAATATTACGTTGTCCCATTTCCGAGGCAATAAAGTGTTCGCAAGATCTGGCGGCCGGCAATGTGGCGACACCGAGGGAGTCTTCAACATAAGGCTCTTATGCATGTCAGCCAACATACCTACAAACCGAGCTCCTTTGCACCAGAAAAGCGCGCGTGACTATGTACGGCATGTGCGTGACCATCAACTGTTAGGTGACAGCGTGAATTTTCCATGGCCAAGTGGACAGCCCAACTTCACCACATGAGACGAGAGTGTGAATTCAACGAAAAAAAAGAAGATAAGTTGTTCACGTGCGCTTCACCTTTTGCTCTCCGTGTGCCCAAGACATGACCCATGAATCGACGTCCAAGCAGATGAGACAACGACAAGAGCTGTAAGAGAAGAGCAAGACTCAGAGACGCTTCTTGTTCCACGTTAAGCCGCAACCGAACCAACCGAATCAAGAGGCCAGAGAAAAGGGCCTTTGAATCATGGCTAGATCGCCGGATTATGTTGGGAGAGACAATTCGATTGATTTAGCCGATAGGCCCAGCTCTCCATCTGGGTGATCAGATCGCTTTGGCAAACACCCGGCAACAAGAGATTGACGTTCACCTCACAACCCTCAGCCCAAGTCGTCAATCTTACTCCAAGGATCTCACGTTCTATGCTTTGGAGCCAATGCAAACAGATGTTCAGTATGAACTGATCCCAAAGAGCGTGAAATCACCTTTCCCACATCCTGCCCTTCCGCGTTTCGGCAGCATGTCGTTGGGAGCCTCAGACAACAGTTGGGGCGGACCCATGTTTGGCTATGTTCGTTCATGGTGATGTCTACTTGAAGTTGCTGCAGGCCAGCACCAGTCTAGGAAGGTGCCTCAGAATGACCACTTTGGTTTTAAGATCTAACCTAACCTTTTTCTGGAGTGGTTGGTCTAGCAGAAGGCTACGTGCGGGCTTGATGGGTCAGTGGCTTGCGAATGCTCTTGTAGGACAACAAGGTTGAAAACTACTTGCTGGAGTCGGCGGTCCTGTATCCACCTGCCTTTTTTGTTTGTTTGTTTGTGTCTGGGCTTTTGGCATTCATGTACAAACTTGTGGAGTTATGCCATGAATTCCAGCAAGCTGCGTGGTTCTTTTTTACCCCCATTGGGAAGTGCTAAAAGAAGCTGTTACTGTTATATACTACCATGAACAGCTGGGCTGTTCCAATAAATAGACGAGTCAGATCTCCACCTGATGTGTTGGACGATGTTGGATGCATTGAGCTATAGGACCAGTGACTAGTTGCACAATGATGACCAGCCGGGCACAGGCACCACTGCGAGTCTCTGGTTTCGAAGCGATGCGCCAGGAACACCGCACTGGTGGGTGTGGAGCCCAGCTGATACCGAGCCGAGCCGAGCTCGGTCGACCGCACTGAAGACTCCACCGTTTTGGGTCTTTTCCACCGCAGTCGCAGGTATTTGCGGGAACTTCCGTCGCTACATCGAGCGACAGGAAGGGGTGCCACTGGCGCAGCTCTTCGAGGCAAGACGGTGCGATCCGGTGCGATCGGTGGGCGGGGAATTGGATGGGGCCCTGGGGGTGTGGATTGGGCAAGGAGGTGTTGAGCCCAACAAGGTCAACGTATTCTTTTTTTCGTGGCGGAGTGGGTAGTAGATGATAGACATCTTTTTCGACGCCTGCCGCGGTCTATCCAGGTTATACTTCCAGGTTTAGGTCGTTTGGTGGTCGAAGTCATTTGGTGGTCCGAGAGAGGCACGTTCACCCGTCACACCCGAAGGACAGTTTATTGGGTCGGTCGAGTCTTTGAGTCTGAATTCAGTGATTGACTGCAATTGACCGCCCCAATTTCAGAAATATGTTGAACTATTTTGTGTTTCAATCTTTTTGGTTCCAGGCAATGAAAACAGGTCACCTGAATATTCCCTAAATTTGTATGGCGCCACATGCCAGGGTAGTCGGCTGCCCCTGCGAGAGCTCGGGCGATGTGAGCAGCTGGAGGAGAAATCAGCAACTGATAGGATGAAAGGGCCAATAATGCCTCAACGGTGTGTGAAACACGTTCATGTCGTAGTTGTCTTTGTGGATTCTTTTTGGCTGTCCTTGTTTTGCAATGCTTGAATTGAGCTTCTTACTATGTTGCAGCTGCTTTGCAACGTTTGTCATGTCCTGGTTTTAATGTTCTTTATTCTGACTTCATTCTCCACTTTAAGGGTTTTCTTCCATTTCTCTTGCTTTTGTTGCTGCATGATGTTTTTTCTTCAGCAGCAGATTTCGTCCTTATCCGTGACATTAACCAAGACATCGAGAACCCTTGATAATCGGACATCTCGAAGGAAAGAACGGACTATTGCAAACCGAACCAAACAACAAGGATTCGATGATCATACTCATACTATGTAGATCATGGCAGATTCTATGTCTTCCAGTCTTTGTATTGGTTGCCAAGAGTCGGTGGATCCCAAGATATCCCAAGGTCCTCGATCACATCAGCACTGGAAAAACCTTCGGAGCGACCAAAGCTTCGGACCTGCCGGACCCGTTGGGTTTTGAGGAGCTCACATGGAAGCATGCGGGTGAGGCTCACGAGGCGGGGGGAGGCGGATCGAACGATCCAATCTCAGTCAACGTGGAGACGGTAGAGATATGTGACATGTAGTATCAATTTATAGTATACTCATAGAATCCACATATATACATATATACTAGCATATACTAGTGGCATGGTATGTAACTTAAACCCTGTGCTAGTACAGCTTTGGAGGCGCGCACATCCGCGGCCTTTGCTCGCTCGCGTTAGGGTGTTGGGTCGGAGGGCCACATTTCTGAAACTGCAGGTCTTGTCGCTCTATCTGTTGGGCGTGCAGGCCCACGTGCGCAGCTGGGAGGCCCAGCAGATGGATATTGGACATTGATCCAGGGCATACTGAAGCCAAAAACCACCCAATATGTCATACAGTTTCCATGGATGACATAGCTGTAGAATGTGTGGGGCATTGTCCAATTTGTTTTTGTCGTGCCATCGGCGAGCCGCGGCTTGCTGGGTCAAAGACAGTTACAGGACAGTTGGCAATGTCTTCTATGCAAAAACAACACGACCCTGTAGGACCATGCTTTGACCCATACAGGTAGACTCACCTGTAGGACCCTGTAGGACGGTTGTGCAACTTCTGCCGTGCTTTGCCAACTTTGAACTCAGGTGAGTCTGTGCGGCACTTGGAGTTGGTGCCATGCCTAGTGCACCGGGCAGCAAGTGCAGGTTTTAGAGTAACTGTATCACGTTGTTTGTACCACAGGGGCAGGTCACAATGACCAGACATGTGAAGGGCGCGCCCAAACCAGACTCCAGAGAGTGACACTCGCTGGTTCCCAAGAGTGACACAGGGAAGAGTTGGTCAACTCCAGTCTGACTCACTACTGGCAGGGGCATTAAGATCATTAAGGCCGCCTCCTCCTCCCCCTCCTCCTCGTCCTCCTCCTCCTCCTCCTAAGAGCTGTCAAGGGTGGTGGGTGAATCGAGGAGGTGGCCTATATAATCCCGTATATATATATATACACACAATTTTCTATGTATATATATATATACACAACAAATTCTATGTCTAAATCCAAAAGCCACAACACATCTTGAAGGTATTTATTTCATTCTTTTTTCAATTGGCTCATTGTTACACAGGAATGTGTGCATCAACTACATCAACTACATCAGACTGTCAATAGAAGGTTACACCGGAAAGGAACCGCGAGGCCGTGACTGCGAGGCCCTCGGTTGGATCGCCGGTTTCTTCTCCATCAGGTTTGCACCTGCCTTCAGAGCTGGGCTGGGGCCGCTGGTGACAGGACGGACCCGCTGAAGTCCGAACCCATAACTGTTATTGATACCATACAACATGGGTTTTGTACATGTGTGTAACATACCGTAGCACAGTTTGCAATAAGAAATAAGCAGAGTGGCTTGCTAGCTTGTTCAGCACCCCACTGTTGGGGAATGCTGATAGGTGAGGTTCTTTTGAGTTTGCATCAACAGCTCTCACACGTCTAGGCCGTGATGGAATCGAAGCAACCGTCAGCTGGCTGAGGTTCAAAGATATGTTGAGGCCGAGGGCAGTGGCCTTTGGATGGTGCAGCGCGGCTGCATGTGCGTGTGCCACCTGTGGTAAGCAGCTGTGTGGTCAGCTGTTTGTTGACTTCCTGTGACTGTCGAAGCTATGAGCCACTGAACCACAGGACTGCGTAGCCAACCTGCCACCCTAAGCACCCGCGATTCTGTGCATGAAGGGATACTTGCCACCCTAAGCACAAAGTACTATATATATATATATATATATACTGGTCCCACTGGGCTCAGGGCTCCAAAATTGCAACACGCATCCCAGCCATGCCCAGGCCGTTGTTGTTGCAACTTACAGCAGTTGCTCGGAAGGTTGCCAACCAAGTAGATCAGGTGGGAGTGCTTTGCCTGGCCTTTTTCTTTTACTCGCGACACCCGCGAACTGCTAAGCCTCTCATGCGCCTGTTAGCAATAAATCAAGGGACAAATCATCACAGATTGAGCCACTTCACGATCATGGAATCATGGGACAAACATTACTACCATCCTTGCCTTTGATAACAAGCTTCAAAGCCCAAGTACTCCCTGTACTAGATCAAGCCTGGGTCTGAGACAGGCTCAGGATCATTATTACTTTTGTTGAGCCAACCAAAAGGGTGCTGGACCGACAGAGCATTCGATCCACCCGATGGGAGGCGAAGAAGTCTGAGCGAGCTGAGCGGCCACACCAAGAGAACAATGCCTATTTGAAGCAGTTGGAAACCAAGGACTTGATTGGCAACAGGAAATCCATGCGCGCTTTAGAAAGATCCTGAACAACGACAGCAGAGGAAGAAACGAGGGTGGTAGGTGGTGCACTTGAGAAGTTATATAGGCTCTTCTTTCTGATTTGATTGTAGCCTCCGACACTGATCTGAGGCTGGTCGCACTCTACCGCAAGTTCTTCAACACGTTGAACAAGGCCAGGATCTTGTTGGCATACATCTTTGTGCAGTATAATATAATTGTATCTACAAATCTCTGGGACAGAGTGACTGCTGGGGTGTTGGAGTGGCTTCAGCTGGTGTCAGGAGCGTGCCAAACGGGCTGGACACGTGTGGATTTGCCCGAGACCTGGCTTCGTGCTTTGATGCAGAAGGGCCAGACGTGGAAGCCTTCGGTGCCACAACGAAAGGATTGGACAGCGACAGTTGATTTCAGGAAGACTTTTGCATGGGGTTTAGTTCAAGTCTAAGTTATTTTTTTGCTGACCAAAAGGCATGCAAAGTCGCTAAGTCAGTCGTGCGAAGCTTCTGAGTTGATCTGAGTTGAGGTTGTGAATTGCTGCGTGCCTACTTCAAGTTGCAGTCCAGGGCCCCAGGGCCTTTTGCTCTGTGAACTCACACTATATAAGTACCTTTGCCTTTGATCACGAGTGTCAGATGCAGTTTCAAGTCCCAGCTCTATGCCGATTCAATCCCAAAAAGATCACTCCCTGCCTGGCTGCCCCAACCTCCCCTCATTCGGGTCACCGTTTGTCACAAAAAGACATCTATTCATCTCTGGAATCTCAGGCAAGTGTCCCAGTGCTCCTTCACGCTCACCACGGTGTCGCAATCCATGCAGAAGGCCTGGGCCTGCGAGGAATGGTGAGACGCACCCTGTGACAGCCGACACCATTGTCCTCTTGTCGATGACTGGTGCCTCGTGGAAGACAGAAGCTTCGGGGTTCACCGGCGTCCGCTCACGGGGACTTTCATCACCGAGCACGCAGAACACGGCACATGTGCCATGTTCTGCGTGCCGTGTGGCTCAGGATGGGTTTTCTCCAACCGACCTGCCAAAGGCGATTTGCGCCGGGAACGACAGATGGCAGGCGTTAAAAGAACCACTTAGTTGACACTTGTAATTGAGTTCTGCCAATTGGAGATCTGGTTCCCCAGGTGTTTTGGATTTAGATCGTATCGGTCTTCACAATCTCGTCAATTACTGAAGAAACCTCTGAAAGATGTTGAAACTCAGAATGAGATATGATGTTGAAAGTGAAGTAACGCGATACAATTTCGCTACTGAAGTTGTGAAACGATGTTGAAACTTAGAACGGTTGGCTCAGTCGCCTCTTTCGGTTTTTCCTATTTTCTCAAACCCTTGAGACAGTTTCTTGACTGTGTGTGGTGGGTGCAATGTTTGTTTGTTCCATAGCAAGCATGGTCTCATTTTATGGACCGGCAGCCAAGGGGTTGTCCTCTTTTGGTTCAAGCCGAGGTAACCTTTTACTTCTTCTGGGGAAAATATTTGGCTTGGAGCTGAGTGGCAAAGGTTTTGTAGATGTAAGTTCGCTATAGTTCGCTGCCAGTTGGAGCCTTGCCAATTTCAAAGCATTTTGGTCATTTTCACTGATCAAGCTTCTGTGACATGTGTGCCTGACCTGTATGACTGAGGTCTTTGAGCACAATTTGCAAGGAGCAGATGAGAAGCTCACCTGGGCCTTCAACAATTGCCCAGAGAAGTGCCTTGGCCACGATGGATGGGGGAAGACTGGGTAGATTGGACGGAGGGAGGGAGGGATGGTTGTGAAGTAGACCTCCACCTTGTTTCGTCCAATCTGTTGGATTTTTGTTGGAAGGGTGGTCGATGCAGGTTCGTGAACATGAAAGAGCCTCGCCTGAACGATTCGCCTCCATCTCCATCCGCACAAGCAAAACACAGCTTTGCAAGCAGTGAACTCCTAACGGTAGGGCCCTCCAATTTGAGAGCACGCCTGTCTTAGTGCGTAGATACCTAGCTAGCTACTGTGGAGGGTGTCAAGGTGCCTTTGACAGCGAAGAAACATTGACGCAAGACTTGTATCTTCCAGGGCCATTGCCAACCGTCGGAGAATCTTGACCAGCTGGCATGTTTTTGGGCAGGCATATAGATCAGGTGGTTTTCTAACGGTGGAATTTGCAAGTCAAACATGAACATTTTGGATTTCTGGAGCCAGGCTGTATTTGGTGCCTTGCAAGCTACGCCTCGGGGTTCTACCGACCCAGGAGCACCACCTCGGCATGTCTAAGTCACTATGGGGTTACAAACGAGCAGAGGGACGCTGAGAATAGCGAAAGCAGCTATGTATCTACCTTTCGTGTGCGAAGGAGTTGTTGCACAAGTACGACTTGGATGTCTTCGTGGATGTGGTAAAGGCCATCAAGGAGGCGATTGATTCTGCACGCTCGACTTGAGGACCTTGCAGGCCTCTAAGTCTTAGGAGGAGTGAATAAGCAATACCAAAACCAGAGCACACCAAACAAAGCACTGAGAGATTGTGAAGGGCACAGGCACAGTCTGGCAAATTGGTCTGTGAAGGGCAATGTCCAGCTCTTCAACAGCAAGATGCAAGAGCTTTCAGCCGTCGGCGTCTCAGCCAAGACAAACCCTCCAAAACCTTTATTGTGTTTGAGCAAGGTATGACGGGCATATTGGTAGTTTGGATTTGCATTTTTTTCCTTGGAAACTCCTGTCTGTGCAGCCCACTTGTGCTTTTGACTACTGGGAGGTTCTTAAATATCAAGAAAAACCAATCATAGAGCCCCTGCGCAGGCGACCCCGGTGGGTTCGTCAGTTCATACAACCGTCTTGCTACTACGCCTCTTGGAAGGTCGGTATGTATGGCCAGTGCCTTGCTTTGTGATCATGAAGCTCTCAGTTCCCCCGCACAACCATGGACGCAGAGACACAGACACAGCATTCCAAACACTTCAAACTTCGGATTCCAAGGATCTCATCAAGATGGGGACCTACCTGCTCATGATGAGGCTGAAGTTTATGGCTGGAGACCTTACACTTGACTGGTTTTGCTGCGCAGTTGCATGTCGCTCGCATCGTAGCTCTGATGTCAATGTATCCAAGTGTGCCAAGCTAGCTAATCGCTAGCCAATGGCTAGCCAATGGCCAAGGTCTTGCGGAACCTCACCAAAGGCATCTTCTTGGAGGTTCAGGGAAGGCACAGGACTGGTCAGGGAAGGCAAAGGGCTGGCCTGGTGTAAGAACTTTGGACCTTCCCTTGGATCCTTGCCATGATGAACCGGACAGTTGAGCCGTGTTCAAGCGCGGCAAAGCAATGGAGCCCTTCAGGGAAATACCATATTTTGGGATATCTTGGGCACATGGTGTGCACGCCTTTTGTAACCCTGGTGCAAGGAAATGTGCGCAAGCATTTGTTTCCCGCATTCTTGTGCAAGCTATGGATCAGTGACTGCATGAATGAACATAGATGATATGGCTGTTCAATGTTGTTCACGTGGTAGTCTATTCTTTTTGATTGTTCTTTTTTTTTGTTGAAGAGTTTTGGGCTGAACTTTGAGTGTGCTTGTTCAATGATCCATCCTCAAATTTGGAAGTTGGCCATTGCACGCACGGAAACACCGTTCTTTTTGTGCTGAGTTCACGCAAGCAACAGGTGCCCTCCGCCATCTACCCTAGTCAAGCCTGCGCATAGTACTAGGGCAAGCGCGCTTTATTTGACATTTGCATTTAGTTTGGTTTATAATGCAAGGAGCTTGGAACACCGCTGTCTTCTTGTGTTTTTCTTTACTAGTCTAGTGTCGCAGCACTTGCCCGTCGCAGGTTGGCAGACAAGAGTGACAAGCTGGATTTTACCCCGTTCGCAGCTCTGTGGGCAGTGGTGAAGTAGAGATATTTAGGAACAATGTTCGCCGGCCTTACGAACGGAGCGATCGGACGCTACCAACGGAGCGAAACTGGCATCGCTACGAACGGAGCGAAACTGGCCTCGGACGCTGTGGAGAGGACTGGACACAGCTCCGAGGTTCGAACATGTCTTCGGGTGGCAAGACGGCTGTGATGCCGACGAGACGGCTCGGGTCGACGGGTCGGCGATCCGAGACGGCCCCATCAAGACGGGTCGGGCTGGGACTTGGGTGGTCTGGAAGCTTTCATTTCTTTGATCTCCTCTTCGATTGCCTGAAATTGCAGCATCCCAAAAAGTGCGAAAGATTCCCACTGTGAAATCCCTTTTCGGTATCACAGTACTGGTCGGTGGTTCAGCTGGAGTACTTGACCCTCACCCAACTATTCTATGACGGAGGCGTTGAATGGCTCACAACTCTTGCTATATACTGACGCCAAAGAACAGGATCCAAACTTCTCCACTTCAATAGTAAGGAGCCAGGATGCGAATTGTGGATGTGTGGAAGGGCCCTTCTAGACATTCCGGTATTTGGAGCGTCCGAGTTTGTTCGAGATGGTTCTTAGAGGAGGTGAAGCATGGTGAAGCATTTGGGAGGGATCAGGCTTTTGAGTCTGGCAACTCTATGTGGCATGGCATGGCTGTTCTCTTTAGTGTGCACAGGCAGCATGCTTGGCAACGCTGATCTACAATGGTGCCATCAAGGGGTGCCCCGAGGGGGAGCTCCCTGAGCTTTACACTTCCCACATCATGTGGCTACACGTATGGCTTCACAGGAAAAACAAAGAGGTAAGAATCTAAGAGAAGGTTCTCGAGTCCCCTGGTCATCCCTTGTATTCTTGAACAACACACAACTGCAGTCTTCTGCATGGTCTCCAGTGGCGTTCCCAGGATCAGGAGCCGATCCGACGATCGCGTCAGGTACTTGAGCCATGATCGTCGGAAAGTGGTCTTTGCCAAGGAGATGCTGCCTCCAGGGGGCGACGCAGTGGGCGACACAAGACAAGTAGACTCGCAGGGCCGAACGCTTTGCACGACAGGGCCATTTCTAAAAGCATCATGGAATGGCTCTCGTCTAAACCGCCGCAGTTTTCTCGCGAGGATGGTGCATTCCCTCCACCTTCGAAGTGGCGCTGACGAGCGACGCTGACGAGCGTGCCAAAAAGGGATGGTCTAATCGGATGCTTCGCACTGGACCGAAGTTCGACGTACTTTGAACACAGCTTTCATGAAAACATAGCTTCTTTGGCAAGATTCAGAAGCTTCTTTCCGCAGCCACAGTGTGTTCACGGCTCAAATCATGTTCTGCCTCACATTCCTCATTGTCTCCTTGTTCCATGCGCGACAAGTCATAGCACTTTGTTTGGCCAATGGAACTCCCGAGCACGCACGACAATATCTTCAAACCGATGCTTTGGAGAATATGTCAGTTGGCCTACTCCTGGGCCCTTGGCAGAGTAACTTCGCCGTGACCAAGATTGCTGAGATTCTCGTGACTGAGGTCCTAGGTCTACATGCCAAGTTGCACTCGGAGATGATGGCGAATTCAGCAGGAGCGATTTTTGCCGTTGGTGGATGCGTGGACTTCAACCATGCAGACTTGGGACAAAAGAAATGTGGCCTGCAGGAGACGCAGATACATGTAGCTCTCGATGCTTGGGTTGGAGTTGCTGTGTCAGAACAAACAGCTTTCCAAAAGATGTACCCATCTCTAGCTCCGGAAGATATGGGTGGAATGGGCTATCGTGGATTCGAAACCATGTATGTGACCCAATCTGCATTTCAAGAGGCCTACGATTCAGAGGGGTTGGCTTTGAACTTCTACCTCAGCTACAATACCACTCATCATGACACAAAGAGATACTTCACATCCATCTCCGATCTCAATGTCTCGGATATGATCTCCTGCGCTGATGGCACTTCATTCATGAACACAGAGCACATGGGCAACTACTACCGTTGGACAGGTGATATTGATGGAGTAACACTGCAGCTTGATGGGACTTACATTGGCAAATGCTCCGGCCCGGGGGTTACTGGTGGCTGGCGCCTTCATGTCGACATGATGTGATGGCCTGCATCCCTTTGGTCACAGCTTCCAATGGATGGTTTCTTCAACCGTTGCTGCAGTGGTCAACAGCCTATGGAATCCCTGCCGCGGTCGGGATCATTCCAAGCTTTGCTGATTGGTCCAGAACTGTGAAAACGACTCGATCCCTCTTCTATTGGTGGGTTCCTGACACGACATTTCTTGAACTCCAACCAGAATCCATTGTATTCCCACCTTTCCGTGCCTCAGAGTGGGTTTTGGGAAACAAAAGGACCTCTGGATCTGGAACCTACATTGCAAAGCTGACCAGCCCAAATTTGCGCCAGAAATCTCCCCGCTTGCGAAGCTTCATTTCCAAATTGTCGATGGACTTGAACACTGTGATGGACATTCTCCAGGACGTTCGCACTTTGCCACTTTCTTCTTTGGATGCTTGGCAGGATCCTGCATGCAGCTGGATCACAAGACACGAGCACATTTGGTCCAAGTGGATTCCTGTTGATACCAACTGCTTCTTGGGCTTTGGAGTGGTCGATGAGCACGGTACTTTCTTGCCATCCAAGACAGGTGCCGTAAGCTGTGATGTGTGCCCACCAGGTACCTTCTCAGAGGAGCTTTCTGACGGCCAAAGCCGTCGTTGTACTCCATGTCCACCTGGCAGCAGCCAGAGTAAAGCATCTGCTTCCCACTGTGATGAATGCAAGCCAGGTGGGCTGTTGGGGGTGTGATAGTTCAGGGTGAGGATGGGTGCGGTGTTTTTTGCAGGACATTAAAGGACGTTACAGTAACTGGAAAACTTCCGAGTTGAGGGAACACTAGAAATCATCGCAAAGAAAAAACTAGATCTCCCTCGTGGAGCACCTGTGACAGCACTGGGTTGCTTTGCATCGAAAAAGACTGATTTCCAGAAAACAACCACAAACATTTTGGCACTTCGAGGGGAACATTGAACATAATAAACAAAACTAGAGAGCAGTCCAAGACTATTGTGTTTGTCACTATAGAACTGTCATAACAAAACGAGCAGGTTCAAAGTATTTGTCTATCACTATAGAACTGTAGCTAGTTACTCCGTGCGACAAGTCAAGTCAAATACCACTTGCCCCAAAATTAGAGAGACTTGCTCTTTAAGAGGGAGCAGAGTGGAAGAAAGAGACACCATACATTCTCATGCACCATGCTCCCCAAGGTAGCGTGGCTGCCACGGAAGGCAGTGTTGCATGCACGCCCTGTGGAGTGGGACTGTATCAAGATGCTTTTGGCAAAGCAGCTTGCGTGACATGCGCGGACGACACCACCACATTGCTCAAAGGAGCCAGCGACAAGGAAGAATGTGTTTGCAAAAGCGGTTTCATTGAATCCAATCGCCAATGTGTACCCTGTGGAGAAGGATTGACGTGCCCCAGTGGAAGCACCGTGAAGTTGCTTTTGGATGGGGAGAGCAGTGGAGGCAGTGGAGAGGACAGGCCACAGATTTCGCAATCGTACTTCAGTTGGCCAGAGGAACCGCTAGAAATATACAAGTGCCCTGGACCCCATTGCGCAGGCGGCACGCCAGGCACTTGCGTTGGAGGGCGGCTAGGCCCTACGTGTGACGAGTGTCCTTCCGGCATGTACGGCACAAGCGATGGTTGCCAAAGCTGTGGGAGACTCGCTTGAAGTGCATGCTAGTGGCTAGCGGCTAGTGGAAAAGAAACACCAGTCTTTAACATTATTTACCCACCCAAAAGGCAAAAGGTTCCGGTTGGTACTGTACACTTGAAAACGATCTATATACATGTTACGGTACGGCATCCACCCAGGAACCAACTGACCAACGCACCCACAGCAGACCAGCCAGCCAGCCAGCAGCCAGGGAGGAGGAGGACGAGGAGGAGGAGGAGGAGGAGTAGGATGAGGAGGAGGAGAGGAGACGTGGAGGAGGACGTGGAGGAGAGAATGAGGAGGACCAGGAACAGAGAACGAGGAAGACCAGGAACAACAACGACCGCAACAGAACCAACACTCCTGCAGCAGAAGAATGGCCATGATGACAGCGACCGACAAAATGTCCGACTGTTTGCGACACATCCGCAACACCAACCACGGCCACAGCATTGAGAACAACCACGACCACAACAACATGAATAAACAACACTGGCATAATATCATGCAGTTGCTGTATGGGTTGCAATAGCTCCTCGAGCAAGCAGTCAATCCAGTGTTCCCCTTTTCGTGCCCATTCTGTGCAATACTTGGCCTTGGAATGTTTCCTTAATCTTTGATGGACGTGTCATGATGCCATGTGTCAAGCCAACGAAAAAGAGGTGCCCGACCGGGTGACTTCCCATCGGCCCTCAGGATCCCGATGATGGCGGTTTGGACTGGTGGGATATGTGGAGTTCTTGTTCTGGTCTTCGGAACATACTATTTCGCCAACCCTCGCTACATGTTGAAGGTCTCTCTGGCAGAATGCGCCAAGATAGGATTTGACATGACCCTTGCTTTCATGCAGAACTTGGGGGTGTTGAATGCCGTGTCTGTCCCGTGGCCTGAAGGGCTTCGAAGCTTATTCCAGTTCTCGGCGTTGTTCATCCTGAACCTGCGCTCGTTGGGCTTCAACTGCGCAGCTGGTGGTGACGTGCAGCAGTACACCGCCACTGTTCTCTTGTTTTTGGGTATTGCTTTGAGCTGGCCATGCTTGGGATCTCTATCACAACTGCCCTGCATCAAAAGGAGAGGTATGGCATGGGATTTTCACAAAACTCTTGGTGTGACAGGGAGTTTTCTCCAGGTGGTGTTCACGACCTTGTGCAATGTTGGACTAGTTCCATTCATGTGCTTTAGCCATCCCAATGGCCGCAGCAGCATTGCAAAGTATCCGAACATATTTTGTGGTGGTCCTGACCATTTGACGATGCAAATACTGGCCGCACTCATTCTCAGCATGGGCCTCACACACTTTGCTGCTTGTTCCTGGGCCATCAAGAAGGCACCTGCATGGTCGACCACATCGCGACATCGCCTCACCAGTGTTCACTTCTTGATTGCCAACTTCAAGCCAGGCGCATGGTGGTTTGGCTTGATTATATTGCTTCGTGGTCCCCTTATCTCCCTACCCACAGTGGTGGCAACGGATCTACCTGGCGTCAACCTCGCCTTAATGATTTGTGTGTGGCTGTCATACTTGTCGATCCAGCTCCTTTACCTGCCTTGGAAGGCGGGACGCACTTTTCATGTTGCCAGATGCAATTGTGCTTGCCCCTGGTCAGATCAGGACAGGTCAATACAAGCTACCAGCAAGAGTTGCCGCATTCAGAAAGCAACCACCTCGAAAACAGACATGAGCTGATGGCACTTCAGTGAGTTTGCGAAAGCAGAATTGTGCAAATCCTATCTATTTGCACGAAAGTCAGAGTCGAACAATTAGTACGTGCTTGGAACCTGTGGAAAGCAGGTTATGTTTCTTCGATACATTTCACTAGCCAAAATGCATGGCCATTCCGGCTCAAGACCTTGCCTGCATTGAAGTGAAATTGCGCTCCCTGTTTTCTATCCCTCGTTCCTTGGCGCCGTGTAATCCCCGATCGGGAGTTGCTGGAGGATGCCCCCACGGTGACCCCTCCGAAGTCGAGGAGCGTGAGAAGGAAATCTGTTTGGTGGATCCTGGCTCCACGGACTATGACCTCTACTGCCCGGGCTGCCGGACAGGCCGCCTGGCCAATGCCTATCCCTCTCTGACGGAGGCCAATCTGCTAAGGTCCAGTGTCATGACAGATCCAGGTGGGTGACTTGGGCCAGAGCTTGGTCCCCCGCCCCAGTGGCTGTGGAGACGCCCTCAGAGCGGCAATCAAGGCGGAGGCCTTTGAGCGGTGGCGGTTTTGGGTACCCTCCCTGTCTGACAGGACTTAGTTTTCTCACAAACCACTGGAGGAAAAGCGAACCAACAAGCAAAAGAGCGCTGCGCTTCTTGTGTGTTGGCTTTTGGTCTTGATGTATGAAGAAACGATGCTTTATATATTCTAACTAACCCAAAAGAGACCTGAAAGGACCAAAGCGGCCAAAGGATGTTTTACGAAAGCCAGCCGATAGGCTAGGCTGGAGTGCTTGATGGGTGTAGTCGAAATGTAAGTAAGGTTTTTGAGGGCCTTGGTGACGCGAGTGATGCCAATAAGGTTGAATAGTGCATCATTGGCATCACAAAGTGGCCAGACAGTGTGTGTAGGCTTCTTCCCCAGCAAAATGAATGCCATCAGCTGTAAAGATAGCAAGGGACTCAATGAAAAAGAGCTGAGTCTGAGCATTCGCGCTGGGACCATGACTGGAGCAGCTCAAATGGCTTGTTTATGCTTTTTGCCCGGGCAGAAAGAAGGCAGAGACGCGCAAACTTTCACATTGGGGTCTATATTACGCCCATACACAAGGTGTTTGCTAATAATAGTATGTGTGTATGAGGTGGAGAAAATGGCTGATGGGTCGGGGACTGCCCACATTCTGCTTCGTTGAGTCCCACGCTCTTGTACAAGCAGAGAGTCTCACTTCCGATTCCCTTAGACACTCACCGTTCTAGGGGGTGCCCTCTTCACTCTTTTTCCGGCTTTTTCTCCACAAACAGCTTTGCTGTGCGGGTTCTCAATTCTTGCATAGAAACGATGCTGGGCCAAGATGATTCCCGCCCTTTGCTCCCCTTTTCTCCCATGGCGTGTCTGGATGCTGGGCTTAAGAGACAAGCGGAGACGAAGGGAGACAAAGCAAAATCATCTCATGGGAGACAGGGGCAAAGGGAGACAAAGCAAAATCATCTCAGCCCAGCGTCCAGCATGCCATTGTCTCCCATGCTTCGTCTCCCTTCGTCTCCCTTTGTCTCCCTTTGTCTCCCATCACGTGTCTGCATGCTGGGCTGGGATCACTTTGCTTTGTCTCTCCTTGTCTCCCCTTGTCTCCATGGCATGTCTGGATGCTGGGCTGAGATGATTTGGCTTTGTTTCCCTTTGTCTCCCCTTGTCTCCCATGGCATGTCAGGTGGGAAGCCTGTGGCGGTTCAGCCGCTGAAGGTGATGGCGGATCTGGCTGGATGCTGGGCTCAGATGATTTGCTTTGTCTGGCCTTGTCTCTCATGGCATGTCTGGATGCTGGGCTGAGATGATTTTGCTTTGTCTTGCTTTGTATCTCTTTGTCTCCCCTTGTCTCCCATGCGGCATGTTTGGATGCTGGGCTGAGATCACTTTGCTTTGTCTCTCCTTGTCTCCCCTTGTCTCATCGGATGTCTGGATGCTGGGCTGAGATGATTTTGCTTTGTCTCTCTTTGTCTCCCCCTGTCTCCCATTCTCTCCTGTGGCATGTCTGGATGCTCGGCTGAGACGATTCCCCAGACAGCTTTGCTGTAAGGGGTACCCCATTCTTACATGGAAAGGATCCTGGGCGAAGATGAATTCTCTTCCCTTTTGTCTCCTTCGGTCTACCGGCCCTCTGGACTGGCGGCAACCGCTTCTAAGGTTTGCTGGCAAAAGAAACATTAATTTGCCGCTGCTGCTCGGGCTCGATGCTGGTGTAATGTTTTTTCGCGCTCGAAAGGGACCCCCAACATCATGACTCTTATATAGATTACGGTAGCTTGCGGTAGTCTAGGGGAACCTAGGTGGATGATCAATCACTCAATCCACTCATCCTACACTTCGACCATTTTTCAGGATTTTACAGCCCCAGAGATCAAACCAGCGAGCACAGTACGACTGCCTGGCTCTGGGGAAGACAAGAAGGGCGCCAGCAAAGGAGTGCGATCTTCCGGGATCTAGCTTGGCGGTCTGTTTGAAGGGCATGTGTGGTCCACTGGTGGTGCCCCTGTTGATCGTTTTGTCATGGTTTTGGGGAAGAAAAATGGGCACCAGCAAAGGAGTGCTATCTTGTGGGATCTAGCTAGGTCCCCGCAAGTAACTGTCAAAAAATACGTTGAAAAACTATGTTTGCGGTCTGCTTGAAGGGCTGGCTTCCCCCCCCTCCCTTCTCAGGTGCGGCGTTCTACGTGAGCATGTGTGTGAGCATGTGTGATCATGCGTTTTGTACGGTCACAGTAGCATGCTCCTTTGGATGGTGTGTGTGTGCTTTGCCTCTTACGGACGTAGACGCATTATGTTTTGGTGAATGCCTTAACAACACTTCACGCAGGTCTTTGCGAAAGGGTTCCAGCGCACTACCAGGCAGTTGTGATTGTGATTATCAGGGACCACTGCATGTCACAACATCAGCGACATGCTAACACAAGGCGCATGAATATTAGTGTACTGTGTGTGTCACCTTCTGTCAACCAGGAACAATCCGATCAGCGCCTTAAGAGCACGGGGCGACAGAGTCAGCATGGCTGTCGGTTTTTCACTTGTAGTAGGTTTGGAAATCGACCAGTTTGGCATATGGCATATGGCATCTGAAATAGACTTGAACTGCAAATGGGTGCGCGCAATGGACTCTGAGCAAGTGTGTGTGTGTCCACCCCTGGACAAAGGGTTTCGTCCAACTGATCCACCGATCACCTTTTCCACCCGTGATTCACATGCAGGGGGATGGAGAGGACACGTGAGGCTCCATCCAACGAAGCTCCTCACGTGCTCCTAGGATATCATCAGGGACGCCTGATGACGTACCTGCGCCGTGACACTACTCCACTCTTCCTTGCTGTGTTTTGATGCCATGGTTGTTGATCACGATACTCTCCCCTCAAACAGGTTTCCCACAGCTGCTTCCAACCGCCGATCGTCAGCCGCGCTGCGCCGACCGAGTGACTGATCCTTCACTGCAGACTTCAACAATGATTTTTGAAACACCTACAAGTTTTCGGACCTTTCACCATGCGGTTCTGTCACCTTCCTTCCCAACGTGGTAACTGAGTCACTGAAAACCAATGTCAGAGTGTGTTTCGCTCAGCCGTCCCACTCGGGTGCTGAGTGTGATCCCCGTCACTGGGGCGCTGTTTTTGCATCGGAATTCAACCACCCCAACGTGCCACTTTTCACTGGATCCCCACTGGAAGTCACGGCCACACCCATAGAATCAACTGATGCATTGGCCGCCGGGCCCAACACGGCAGCTTCCTCTTCCACCGACTTTCTGACCAGTCTTGCACGTAGGTTTCTGCGTGACCTCACACGTTGTACTTTTTGACTTGCGCCGTGACCTTTTCGTCAGCAGAACTCAAGCTTGCATACTGGAGTTCTCAAATCTAATTCGAGATGCATGACCACACTTGACAACAAGTTCACATATCACACCCAGCTCAGCTTCACAGCATACTTCCTTTCAACACGAGCAACGTGACTTTCAACATCACCATGACATACAATTTTGCAATCTCAGCTGCACCATTGCTGCTGCGCCGCGCCGTGCCATTGCGAAGCCTTTACCACACAGCGCTGCATTTCACCACCGACACGTTCGACTACGTCATGCATTTTCCCTCACCATATGCTCATGCCACACCACCACCACTACCCACCACGCAACCTCAGCCCACATTGCCGCTGCCGCAGCCACAAACCGCACCCACTTTTCCATCACCACATCCATCGGCATTTCCTTATCCACAACCACAACCCTATCAGGCTCCACCTACCATGCCTATTCCAACTCCTACTGCGCTGTCCTACGGCACTCCCTCAGCCTGGACGATTGTGCAACCATCTCAGCCGCCACCACAACCCACACACCCAACCCCAGTTTTTCCATCTACAACACCTCCCCCTTCTCACATGTTGCCACAATTACATCACACACCACCTACCGAACCTACCACCACTACGCCGATCCAGTCACCTCCAGCACCACAACAAGCAACAATAGCTCATCATCCACCCACAGACCCGCAGCGGACTATGCCCCAGGGAGTTTGGCAACCTTACCCCGGTCACACAACCTTCACCTCAACCTTTGCCTCCGCCGCCGCCTCCACTAGCCATCGGCGAATCACCACCAGCTCAACCCTCACTCCCACAACCGGCACCATCGGACCCTACAGCACCGGTCCAAAACGTCACCACTTCAGCCACTGGCTCCCAACCATCTCCATCACCACCCATTGCATCAGCCCCACCAGCAACTGCACCTTCACAACCTGCAACGGACAAGCCAGACAGCGCCGCTTCACCAGCACCGCCACCACCTTCCCCACACCCACCTCACAGCAGTCGCCGCCACCACCACAAAAGCCGGCGCAAGTCTGATCATCGCCAC